ACGCCGAGGGCCCCCTTCAGTGCCCACGGGAAGCCCCCAGGAATCTGCATTTGCCACGCGGCTGCAGCAGACCCCCAGGAAGCAGGGCCAGGAAGAGGCAGCCCCGGGAGGCTGCAGCCAGCGGCTCCTCTGCCCGGCCTCGCAGTCCGCCAGCTCCACACGTGCGGCAGGTGCCCTCCTCTGTGCTCTGGCCTCGGCCCCCCTGGCCGAGAGCTGGTGTTTGCTCGGGTGAGGTTTCTGCGGAGGCCCGTGATGGACGGTCTTTTGAGTGAGCAGGAGCTTGGACATCGATGCTGGAACAAGTTGGCTCCGATGCGCCATGACTAGCCCAGCCCTGAAATGCGGGTTTTGGGCTTGGCCGCGTGTACAGCCATTTTGTCATTATTGTTTTTTTCGGAGGGCGGGGGGATGATCACATTTTTAATAATGTCTCCCACACGCCAGGCCCACGGTCACAGGCAAACCCGAGCGTGGGGAGCAGGGTGCAGCTTTCCTACAAAGCGGCCGCGTTTCACTGGACCCTCCAGGCTCCGGCAGGCTGGACGTGCTGGCATTTCCTGTCTGAGCATTTCTGTCCTTCCACGTCATTACCTTTGCTCGGGAAAAGCAAACACTCAGCATGACCCAGTGCTAAAGCATGCAAGTCGTGGAGCCCGCTGTCTGGTGAGATCCCGGCGCCCCCAATTCTGCAGCTGGGAGAGCTCCGCCGGCTGGCTGGCCCTCCCCGAGCCCGCGTGTCCTGATCTTCGAACAGGCAGAGTAAGACTGTCCACCCCCAGCCGGGGGACAGGCAGAGTCCGGAGAGGACGCGCTGAAGGCGTGCGTTAGAGCTTGACCGACGGAAGCACGCAAAGTGAGTTAGCGCTGTTACGCGTTAAAGGACAGACGGCCAGGTGGGGGAGTGAGGACCACCCTGACCTGGGGTTGCAAGGCTCCAGGTGGAACGCTGCGCATCTGTTAGTATTGCAAGCAAAATTCTCTCTCTCTCTTTTTTAAAGATTTATTTTATTACTTTGAAAGACTCAGTTACAGAGAGAGGTAGAGACACACAGGGATTTTTCATCTGCTGGTTCAACCCCCACCCCATCCCCACCCCAGCCCAAATGGCCACAACAGTCAGAGCTGAGCCAATCTGAAGCCAGGAGCTTCTTCCGGGTCTCCCACATGGGTACAGGGGCCCAAGGACTTGGGCCATCCTCTGCGGCTCTCTCAGGCACATTAGCAGGAGCTGGGTCAGAAGTGGAGCAGCCGGGACTTGAACTGGTGCCCATGTGAGACGCTGGCTCTGCAGGCCGGGGCTTTAACCCGCTGCGCCATAGTGCCAGCCCTGCAAAATTCTCTTAAACTCACTCCTTATGGTGGAATATTTCAAACATACAGGAAAGTGCAGATCATCTTGTACTGAACCCCAGAGGGACCCACCTCCAGGGCCCGGCCATTTCTGACCAACCTTGTCCTCTCTAACCACACTGGTCCCGCCAGCTCATCCTCCTTGCTTGCTCTCACTGTGGAAGCAAGAGTGAGACGTGATCATTGCATCTGTAAACAGTCGAGTGCATCCTTCTAAAAGGTAATTTTAAAAACTACATCATTGCCATTCCTTGTGAGGTGTGGAGGTTCAATTTCATGGTCAATTCTGATGTTCAGTTGATCCAGGGTCATTTGTTAAACACATTTTCCTTTTCCCCTTGAGTTGCTTTGACAGCTTTGTCAAAATCAGTTCATTGGGCCAGTGCTGTGGCGTAGCAGCTAAAGCTGCCGCCTGCAGTGCCAGCATCTCATATGGGCGCTGGTTCAAGTCCCGGCTGCTCCACTTCCTATCCAGCTCTCTGCTATGGCCTGGGAAAGCAGTAGAAGATGGCCCAAGTCCTTAGGTCTCTGCACCTGTGTGGGAGACCCGGAAGAAGCTCCTGGCTGTTGGCTTCAGATAGACCCAGCTCTGGCCATTGCTGTAGCCATTTGAACCAGTGGATGGAAGTCCTCTCTCTCTGTCTCTACTTCTCTCTAACTCTGACTTGCTAATAAATAAATAAGTCTTTAAAAAAATCAGTTGATCATCGAAGTCTGGGTTTATTTCTGGATAACTTTGTGCTGTTGATCCATGTGTTTATGGAATGCCACTCCACACATTACCATTTTTCACCACTGTCAGTTTACAGAAGTCTTAATAGAGATCATGCGGGTTCTCCAGCTGCTTTTTCAGGGTTGTTTCGGCTGGTCTAAATATGCTCCATTTTCCTCTACATTTTGCCATCAGATATCAACTTTCACAAGAAGTCCTGCCGGGTTTTCATTAGGATTGCATTGAGTACACAGCTACATCTGGGGAAACTTGGTGTTGTTATCACCTTGACTCTCCCAGTTCGCAAGCACAGTACATTTAATTCTCCTTCAGTTTCTCTCAGCCGAGATATTTCAGCTCGGTGTCGAGGTCCCGCTCTGGAACCCTTCGCTGGGACGTGCCTCCCAGGCCTGGGTCCTCCCGTTCTGCCCAGAATCCGTCTTACACCAGTCTTTCCAGAGCTTGCTTCTGTCTGCCAACACCACCAACTGCCTATGCAGATAGATTTACTTGTTCCATTTTGAGTTTTTAGGGGTTGCTTGTTAATGCTGTTTTGTTTCATAATAGTCTAAAGCAATCAACACGAAACAACATCGAATTCTACCTTAGCTTTGTGCACGTTGAAGGAAATGCACCCCCACCCCATCACCCCCCGGAGTTCTTTTTTTTTGTTTTTATTTTTTGTTTTTTGACAGGCAGAGTGGACAGTGAGAGAGAGAGAGACAGAGAGAAAGGTCTTCCTTTGCTGTTGGTTCACCCTCCAATGGCCGCCACGGCCGGCATGCTCTGATCCGATGGCAGGAGCCAGGTGCTTCTCCTGGTCTCCCATGGGGTGCAGGGCCCAAGCACTTGGGCCATCCTCCACTGCCTTCCTGGGCCACAGCAGAGAGCTGGCCTGGAAGAGGGGCAACTGGGACAGAATCCGGCACCCCGACCGGGACTAGAACCCAGGGTGCTGGCGCTGCAGGCGGAGGATTAGCCTAGTGAGCCACAGCACCGGCCCGCCCAGAGTTCTAAAAATAGTTTATGCAAGAAACCAGCTTGGCCTCTGTGACTCCCCGGAGCCGTGGACACCCGCCTTGTTCACTGTGACAAGGCCAGTCACTCTGTGCCCCTCACTTTGCCTGTCAAATGATTAGCTGAACAGTCTGTCGGCCCTGGCCCACTGGGACAGAATGCTTGTCAGCCACACTCCAGCTCTGTCCCTCTCCTCCCCTCTGGGCTCTGGACTTCGGCCACCTCTAGCCCGAGTCAGCAGGCAGCCTCTCCACAGCACAGGCTGGCCTAGGGCCCAACATTCTCCATCTTCCTTCCCATCCTGCCACCTTTTCATCCCACTTCCCTGCACCCGCTCCTGTCTGTGCGGCTTACTCCTCTGTTCGAAAGAAAACCCCTTTGGGGCTGGCGCCGCGGCTCACTAGGCTAATCCTCCGCCTTGCAGCGCCGGCACACCAGGTTCTAGGCCCGGTCGGGGCGCCAGATTCTGTCCCGGTTGCCCCTCTTCCAGGCCAGCTCTCTGCTGTGGCCAGGGAGTGCAGTGGAGGATGGCCCAAGTGCTTGGGCCCTGCACCCCATGGGAGACCAGGAGAAGCACCTGGCTCCTGCCATCGGATCAGCGCGGTGCGCCGGCCGCAGCGCGCTGGCTGCGGCAGCCATTGGAGGGTGAACCAACAGCAAAGGAAGACCTTTCTTTCTGTCTCTCTCTCTCTCACTGTCCACTCTGCCTGTCAAAAAATAGCAAATTAAAAAAAGAAAAGAAAAGAAAAGAAAACCCCTTTGGGGCTGCCTGTAACACCAGCATCCCATATGCGCGCTGGTTCATGTTCCAGCTGCTCCCATTCTCATCTGGCTCCCTACTAATGTGCCTGGGGAAGCAGCGGAAGAAGAGCCAAGTCCTTGGCCCCACACCCACGTGGGAGACCTGGGAGAAGCTCCTGGCTCCTGACTTCGGATTGGTCCAGCTCTGGCCATTGCAGCCATTTGGGGAGTGAACCAGAGGATAGAAGACCTTTCTCTCTCTCTCTCTCCCTCTCTCTCTGCCTCTGCCTTTCAAATAAATAAATAAATACTTTTAAAAAGTCTTTACAAATAATTTGTAATTGAAAACATTTAAAAATTATTTGAAAGGGAGAGAGAAAGAGGGAGGCAGAGGTGGAGAGAGAGAGAGAAAGAGAGAGAGAGAGAGAGAAAGAGAGAGAAAGAGAGAGAGAGAGAGAGAAAGAAAGAGAGAGAGACAGAGAGAGAAACTCTTTTGTCTGTTGGTTCAACCCGCAAATGCTCAGAACACCCAGAGCTGGGCCAGGTCAAAGTTGGGGACTCAGTGAAGTCCCGTATGTGGGTGGCAGAGGTGCGAATGCTTGAGCTCTCACCGGCGGCCTCCCTGGGTGCACATTAGCAGGAAGCCGAATTGGAAGCAGAGCGGAGACTCAGATACGGGATGTGGCGGCGTCGTCACCACTGTGCCAAATACCTGTCCCTCTGCCCATCTGTTTTCTCCCTAAGAAATCTTCCCATGAAGCCAGTAAACCCTTGACCTCGGCTCCCTCAGCTCTGTGCTGACTCCATCCCAGGAGAGACCCTTCTCCAGGCAGGGCCACCCCCCACTCCACCCGCATGGCCAGCCGGCCCCTTTCTCTCCATTTTCAAAGAGAGTCCCCCGTGCATAGCTTCCTGCCCTGCCCGTTGCCCTGATGGCAAAGACACCTGCTTCTGGGAGCCAGGGGAGAAGCACTGTGGTTCCGGTCTTGTCGGGGCGTGCACGGAAGGGGCAGCAGTTGCTCCCAGGTTTCAGCGCCGGGCTCGGGGACTCTCCCTCCACCTCGCACGCTCCTAGCCAGGCTGGGTGCGACTGGGTGTGAGGTCAGGGCTGGGGCAGCTTGGGCGTGGTTGTCACATGCAGAAGATTAAGAAGAGCAGCAGAAGGAAAGAGATGCGATGCTATTTCCAATAAGGAATTTATTTGTCTTAAAAAACAACAGTGGTTCGATCTGGATACAGCAGCACTGTGACATATCAGACGGAACACAAAGACGCAGGGTATCCAGGAACAAAAGCCGCCATCTTCAATGATTTCCATTCATCAGTGTTAAAATCTCCCTGAAAACAACAGAAGCCTTTGGATACTAGAAATTATTATTATTACTTTAACAACACCGACAGCCACGAAACTCTTCTAGTCAAGGATGTTTGCTTTTGATCTATTATAAAAATGACTTCTTGATGGATTGGGGAAGACATCTAGATTCTAGAAGATTAAGACCACTTTTTAAGTGTTTAAAACCCTGTCTCCAGCACGTGCCTGTACTTTTAGGTCTGCTTGTTTGGGGTCTGCGGTGCACACATCTGAGCTGTGGGAGCAGGTGCAGGAGGTGTCTCTGGGGACCAGGCTCCCCAGTCACCATGGAGAGAAGTGAGCTCTCTACTGCTCACAACTTACACAGCTTTATCCCTTCCCAATGCACAGATTCCACATTTAGCAAAGGCTCAGAAGCGGGAAGGCCTTGGAACACGAGCCAACCCAAAAGAGGCTGCTGTGGCAGGGCCCAGGTGTCCAGGCGGATGTGCAAGCCCACAGCAGCGTAAGAAGAGGAGTGAGTGTTGCCCAGGCTGGCTGGCATTTCCTTTGCTCTCAGGAGATGCCCAGGGGCCCCAGGAACCCGGTTCCCTCTGACAAGGCCGGGGGTGATAGCAGGCTGGGGGAGGCTGGGTGCCCTCCGTGTTTTGAGGACCATGGCTTAGTGAGAACGTCCGTGGGAAAACAGGACCCGTGCTGCAAGTCTTTCTCCAAGGGCCGAGGTGTGGGAGACAAGACTTAACAGTGGGGTGGGCTCCTCGGAAAGCCTGGAACCGTCTTGGCTTCCAGATGGGCAGCCCTCAGCACCCTCAGGGGCTGCCCCGAGCTCCAGGGGTGTCTATGTGGCTGTCCCTGGGGGCTGCCATCAGCCGTGCGTGTCAGCAAGGCCACACTGCTGTGTCTGCCTCGCCAAGACGGGCAACGCTTTAGGGAAACTTGTTCAGCTGCTGTGCAGCGAGTAGCCCCCGGCCTCAGCAGTCTAAAGTGTGATATTCCTGGCCGAGGAAGATTCGAGAACAAGCTGACGTGGGGGTCGGGTCTTCTTCACATTCGGGGAGCCTCGGTGGGCTCCCAAACCCTTGTAGTCCACGCTGATCAAAGCCAGGACCGCCCACGACTACTGGGGACAGCTGCTTGGCCCCCAAGCAGCGCAAGCAGAGACACTGGCGGGAGACCTGGTCCCATCCCAAAGGCAAACGCCCAGGGAAGGCAGTGTCACCCCGGGCACAGGGACGGCCCCTCTGCAAAGAGCTCAGGGGCACCTAAGAGAGTTGGGTCCGCTCACTGTCCCGGTCAGCCTTGCCCTGGACTGGAGGGTGGCGGAAGGGATGGTTTCTAGTTTTAAAAAGTCTTCTAAAAATGCAGCTATAGAAACCAAGGTTGGGAAGCGTGAGGGGGCAGGAATGGGGACCAGGGTCTCGGTGGGAAAGGGGTGGCCTGTCCCATACTGTTCTAGTGACTTCCTTTTTGTTACAAAGCCTGGGACAGGCTGGAAGGAAGGGGAGGGTTGCGCAGGCCCGGTGGCTCTGCCCCGTGTCCCACGGGCATGTGTGGAGGACAGGTGGGGACCATGAAGGCGCTCAAGTGTCCCTGAGAGTCTGGCCGAGGCCTGTGCGTGGGACCTCACAGACGCAGGAATGCGGCAGCCGGCTGCGTCTTCCTCCTTGGTGCGCGGGATTCCCGCCAGCCAAGGACAGCGCCCTGCTCGGAGGCACAGAGACTGCAGAGACTTAGCCGCAACCCTGGGTTCCCCAGGGAGCACTGGGCAAAAGGGGCGGAGCTTCTGGCCAGAGGTGGAGGGGGTGTGGTTTTTAGGGGGTGTGGCCTGGACTGGTGGTTACTCTTGGAGGGTCTTAAAATACTGTCCCAAGACCTCCCACCTCCTCAGTGAAACCTGAACGTAGGTTTGCTTTGTTTTCAGCAGCCTGGTGAGAGCGCTGGCCCTAAAGTGACATCACACGTGGAGGGGCCCGGGGGAGTCTGGCCATTTCTTCTTGCCTGTTTGTGAGAATGACCTCGTGCACACACACACAGACACACACACACCCAGTCGCCAAGGTCAGGCCCCTCGTGGGCAGCTTGTCCCAGGGGCCTGTGCCTGTGCCTCCAACCCCTCCCCAGAAGCTCGGGCGCCCAGCTGCTGGGTCACGGAGAAGCACGTTTGGGGCGGTCACAGGCAAAGCCCCCTGGTGGCCGGCGGCTGCGGTTCTCACAGGGCAGGGATATTGGAAGATGCAGATCCCCGGGCCTCACTCACAGAGGTTCCCATTCGGCAAAGCCTGGGAATCTGCATTTTAACAGCGCAGGCCCCACACGGCAAGAAACCTGGCAGAATCGGATGCCAGGGGCTCAGCCAGGTGGGGTGGGGGAGGGCAGCCACTCACCCTGCCCGGGAGGGGAGGGAGGACAGGTTTGCTCCTTGTCACCTCTTGGGAGCAGCAGGGATTGGCCAGCCGCTGGGGCCGTGCAGCTGAGCAGCAGGGGGCCAGAGCGGCCTCTAGGGGCCTCTGGTCTGGCACAGCCGCCGAGCCCTGCAGGGGCTCCTCGCGCCAGAAACCTGGAGATCCGAGATGTGAGATTCCGCCTCCTGGGCAAAAGACGGGAGTGTCTGAGCACCTCAGGGGGCCCGCCTCGCCCGGGGGGCATCTCATCTGCCTGAGACACAACCCAAGCAGCGAAACTGGGGGGCCTTGGAGAGGCCTCAGGGTCCCCAGGACACATGCTGGGGTCCTCCCTGCAGTTGCAAAGGTGGGCACGTTCAGCACGACCCGCGCCTCCACCCCCGGGCGCCTCCACGGGGCTGGGAGCTAGGAGTTCCACGACCGCACCTTGTCACCTCCACGCCATCCTTAAAAACAAAGTCCAGCAGCCGGGACCGTGCGGAGGCAGAGCTGAAGCGGCTCCCAGAAGACACAGGTGGCAGAGGCCGAGGCGACCACGGCGGCGTGCGCCCCCCCCCCCCCAGGAGATGGGCACACCCCCAGCAACCACTCGGGTCCCCAAGGACAATCCCCTGGCTGTGGCCTGCAGGAGGGACGCTGTCCCCAAGTGTGCGTGGTTCAGGTTCTTACAAGCCAGCGGTGGTGATGACGACACCCGTGACAGTGCGGCGATGGGACCAGGGAGATGGACATAGGCAGATGCGACCAATCCTTTCAAAGTGGAAGTGAATCATTTTCTACATTTAATAAAAATGTTGAGGCTCCGGAAGTTTTGAGCCAGTTTTTTTTTTTTTCTTTTTTGGTAAATCCCCCGCCCCCGCCCCCCCTAACGTCTTAAACACATGCCTTAATGCAGCTGTACAGAAAATATACACCCTCAAAGTCTGACTTTCATTTAAATACAAATATACAAAATGTAAACTGAGACGATAGAGAAATTTACAAAACTTGTCTTTAAAAATAATAGAGACAAAATTCAGTTCTAGCTGGGATACTGTTAAAACGCGTGCAAGGTGTCGCGTCCGACGGGACCTCTATTGCAATGTTCGGCAAGGCGCGGGGCCGCCTCGAGAAACAGACCTGAGTGGGGGTTTCTTTGAGAAACCTCGAGGCTGTGCGTCGTGGGGGCGGCGGGCGGCAGCCCCCCGGACGCAAGTCCTGCTCCCGAGGCCAGGGCCGGCGCCGCTGCGCACGCAGGCCGGAGTGCACACTAGCTGCTTCCAGTGGAGTTTGAGCTGACGTGGTTGGAATTTATGTGGTGGTTGAAACTGCTCTTGGTGTTGGACGAACTCTTGGCATTGTTCTGGTGCTAGTGGGGTGAGAGAGGGAGAGGGAGAGGGAGAGGGAGAGAGAGAGGGAGAGGGAGAGAGAGAGAGAGAGAGAGAGATGCTAGAGTCAGCCCCCTTGATCAAGCCTGGGCTTGACACAGCCGCGGCTCTGGGGGCCGGCTGCTCCTGCTTTTGGCTGCCATTTGCATTCTGCCCCCAGACCCAGCTCCGGAGGTCCCCCGGTGGGCGCAGGGTTCGACCCCGGGCCTGGGAAGAGACCCCCGGCTGAGGGGCACAGTCCCTCCTGTGATGCCCTGCTGGCCTGCCTGGGCTGGGCTGCGCCAGCTGCCTCTTCCTGGCTGCCGCCTCAGGGAAGTCATTCCCCGCCACGTCCCCACCCGGGTCACGGGTCAGAGCAGCTCCTTTAACGGGGCTGCAGGAAGACGTGAGACCCAACGGGTGCTGGCTGCGTGCTCCTGTGACCGGGTGGGCGTCTGCACCCGGGCCCTGAGCGCTGCCGGGGGAGGGGGCTGCTTGCTGCGAAGGTGCTGGCGCTGGGCACTCAGCCAGGGCGCCGTCCTCTGGGCCGTGGCCATGTCCACCCCCGTGCTTCAGGCCGGCAGAGGCTCCCTAAGCTACCACACAAGGGGGTATGCCAGAGCCGGATTTGAACCTGGGCCAGGAGACCCTACGGCCAGTCCCCATTCTAAGATAAGGGGGTCCTGGGGGCTCAGCCACACAGGGGAGGGGACAGTCATTTCTTTCTGGAGCTTCAATTGTGGCCAATGGCAGCATTTCCACATTGTGTTTTCCCATCTGAACACGAGTGCGTTATGCAGTAGAAAGTGACCCATGAAGCTTTTGGGTAAGACCACAGTTCCAGGTGCCGCCCCGTGTATCTCTCCCCAGACACCTGTGTGTGCTTCTGCCCTCTGACCCCGAGGCCGTTCCCAGGGGCTCACCAGCTGGGTGACCTTGGGCAAGTCCCTTCACCTCTCTTGGTCTCAGTTTCCGTATCTGTGAAATGGGGCAATGAGGTCTGCACTTCACTAGGTTGCCCGAGCACAGGACCGTTGGGTCTGAGTCCTGGGACCATAGCCTGGCCCCCAGGAGGCACTCCACACACACCGGGGGCAGGGGGGAGGTGAGCGAGATGCTGAGGGCCCAGGGTTTTATGCAGCCTGGATAGGAGAAGCCTTTGAAAAGCTCTCAGCCGAGGGCCTGGTCTACAGCCCAGCTCTGTCAAGACCACCTTCATCCCCGCAGCAAAGAGGGAGGGGACTGGGCCTGGGGACCAGGGGTGTGTGTGTGGGAGGGGGACGCACCCAGGGCCCAGGATGAGACCCCCAGGGCTGTGGCTTCACGAAGGGCCGGGCACAAGGAGGCATTACTGTGGCCACTGTCATGGCTGCTGGGCGGGCTGGGGCCCTCGAGGTTCCCCATTCCCCAGGCCTGCACGACCCCTTCCTCCAGGGCCAGGCTCCGAGGGGGAGAATGTGCCTCCCCAAAAGTAGGCTCCACTGGTCAGCGGCTGGGAGCCCAGCGCCGGAGGGGGGTCCACCCCAGGAGCCGTGAGGTCCTGCAGGCTCACCCCCCACACACCTGCTCTCAGGTGCAGCCTGTACCTAGGGAACTTTACCAGGGCCCAGGGAGGCAGTGGTTCTCATCCGGGGGCTCTCACCACCCAAGAGTCCCTGGCACTGCCTGGCGGCGTCCTTGGCTGGCACAACTGGGGAGCTGAGGCACTCCCGTGTCTCGAGGGCAGTGGTGGGATCCTGTGAAGCCGGGGACACCCTTGGTCCCCCCGAACACAACAGGGTCGGGGTTGAGAGAGCTGGACGGGCTGCCCATTCTGCCCTGGGGTTCCCTCGGCCATGGGGGTTTCCGGGACCGTGGACAGGCTGGCCAGCCCTCCTGCCGCTCCCACCCCAGGTGCTGAGGCAGGGCCTGGCGGGGGCGGGGCCCTCACCTGCCGCCGGAAGATCCGGTGCAGCAGCCCCTTCTTGGGCGGCTCCGGGGCGTGGCTTCGGTTCAGGTCCGGCGAGGGGGTACCATTGGGTCCGAACACATTCAGCTCCTTAAAGCACTCGGTCTCGATCATCTGCAGGGCCCGGCACAGACACGGATCCCTCGTCTGCCAGCCCCGGAGCTGCCCCTGCCCCTGCCCCCCCCCACCCAGATCCCTCGTCTGCCAGCCCCTGAGCTGCCCCTGCCCCTGCCCCCCCCACCTGGATCCCTCGTCTTCCAGCCCCTGAGCTGCCCCTTCCCCTGCCCCCCCCCCCCACCCGGATCCCTCGTCTGCCAGCCCCGGAGCTGCCCCTGCCCCCCCCCACCCGGATCCCTCGTCTGCCAGCCCCTGAGCTGCCCCTAACCCCCCCCACCATACCCCTCGTCGCCCAGCCCGTGATCACCCCCTCCCCCCCCCCACCCGGATCCCTCGTCTGCCAGCCCCTGAGCTGCCCCTTCCCCTGCCCCCCCCACCTGGATCCCTCGTCTTCCAGCCCCTGAGCTGCCCCTTCCACCTGCCCCCCCCCCCACCACCCGGATCCCTCGTCTGCCAGCTCCTGAGCTGCCCCTGCCCCTGCCCCCCCATACCACCCGGCCTCTACCTCGGGGGCGGGACAAAGCCCTGCTCTACAGGCCCGTGGCTGGGCGCAGGTCCTCACTGCCTACTGACGCTGTGGCTGTGTGCGTGCTGCCTCCCCGGGGAAGAGGGGGACACTCCTCTTCCCACCACCAAACCTTTGCAGCCCTGGCTGCCTGCACCCAGCACTGCCAGCTCGTTCCAAGCAGCGCTGACTTCCGCTGGCTCCATCCCGCCCGGGCCTCCAGCTCGCCCCAGCTTTGCCTTTCCTTTCCCAGGCAAACTTCCCTGGGGCCCAGTCTTGCCTCCTGTTGCCTCGCAGCCTGGCCAGGGCCCCAGGGACCACCCCGGCCGCCAGCTCTCCATCCTCGCCATGCTCCGCCTGGAGGGGTGGGGGTCGCCGGCCGCCCCTCCGGCCGAGAGCGAGGCTCACCTCGTTTTGCCACGGGATGGACACGGAGCCGGTGGAGAACTTGGAGTAGAAGTCGTCGTCTGTGTGGTCCAGGTTGACGCCCTTCACGGTGGAGAACTGCTCAATGTCCAGCACGTCCTTGCAGTAGACGGCCCGGGGCTGGCGGAGGTGGGGCTCGGTCACGCACGGCCCGCAGGGGCTCTGCCTCCCCGAGCCAGGCCTTGGGGGCTTGGGTGGGGGGCAGTGGGGACATCTTCCTGAGATGCTCCCCGAAACTGCTGCTGCCGTCTGGGGCAAAACCAGAGCTCGGGGCGTCCACACGCCCTAACTGGAGCTCCTCCTGCCACTGTTCCCACACTCAGACCACAGGCCTTCCAGCTTGGGCCAGGGGACGGACAGGGCCCCTCTGGGCATCCACCGCCCCTGCCAGACATTCTTGCTGCCCTGGGAGCCCACGCATCCGGAGGCGCCCACGTCCCCAAGCATCTCGGTTCGGGGCCTCTGGGCCACTCCTGCACAGCAAGGACGACGAGTGAGGCCCGGGACCAGGGCAGCAGGGCCTCGCTGCTTGTGGGGACGCACACAGGCGATGTTGAAGAACAGAAAGAAACAGCACCTGTAACCGAAAGGCGTGCACGCAACCCCAGCGCACGGCTTCCTTTTGGAATCCACTTATTGTGGTTTTGAGAAGATTCAACTGAGGCAAAAAGATTAAGCCAACAATAGCCTCCTGGCTTACGATGGTGGCCACTGGGCCTGGGTGAGGCCATCACCAGGGCCTGTGCTGGTGCAGCCGGGATGGGCCAGGGGAAGGCTCCGCCCCGCCCGCCTGGTGACTCGCTATCTGGGAACCACAATGAGCTGTGGGCCGCGAGGGGCCCAAGGGCCTGGCCCTGCTCACTCCCTTGCACCCTGGTGGTGTCCCACCCAGGTGACCAACCACACCTGCAAACCCACCACTTCAGTGCCGAAAGCAGGGCAGGTCGCTCCGCCGCCACCCCCGCCTTTGCCTGGACTCCTCTCCCAGGGGGCCCTATTTCTTTAATTTCAGGGGCGGTTACCGACACCTCCCCTCCTTCTCTTCAACCCAGAAGTCCCAGGAAGGAAAGACCCGAGTGCTTTGTTCACTGCAGTGGTCCTGGGGGGGTGGTGGGAAATAGTTCCTGCGCTGTGACTCAGCCCATCCGGTCACCACAATGACAGGTGTCCCAGTGACAGGATGGCCACCGGCTTCTGAGCCTTTGTCACAATGCAGCCGGGGCACCCACCTCCTCTCCAAGCCAACACGGCCCCCATGACACAGTGGCCATGTACACATGGTCATTCTATGTAGTGCCCGGGAGTACTGAGCTGTGTCCACTCCCCAAGCCCTTGACAAAACAAACGACAGACTGCTGACTGTGACACTTCCTGGCACACGGCGGCTCTCGAGCCCGGTTGCATGTTGGAATCTCCTAGGAGATTTAAAAAATCCTGGTGCCCAGGCCTCATCCCAGATTCTCAGGCCCAGGATTTGTGCATGCTTTTCAAGGGATCCCATGTGGGCAGCCAAGGCCGAGAGCAAACGCGGGATCGGGATCCTCCCCGCCACTTGCTGAAGTCCCTCTGCAGGCCGAGCCTGTGGCGCCCAGCGACCCTGCTCTCTTATTCTCAGAGTCCCTGCCTCCCTCGAGAAGGCGCTCCCTGGTCACCCCCAGCACCGCTGCTCTAACGGGCCGGCTGGGGCCAGCGCTGTGCTCCCCAAGCCTGCTGCTGCCCTCCTGCCTGGTCCCCACGACCAGGGCGTCCTCCCCTCCAGGGGGACCTGGCGTCCAGGCACCGTCCCCATCCTCAACTCTCAGTGCCACACTGGTTCTGGACGGGGGTGGGGAAGCCCTGGTCTGTGGTGCACTCTCACTGGGGCCTAGGGCAAGACACCCATGTGAAGCTCCCGGGTGCAGTCAGCTCTCAGCGGGGGCAGTGCCCATGCCTCTGTGGTCCCCAGGCAGTGCCCCGGTGGGCGCCTTTTTCAGCGCGCAGGAGCCTTGGCTGAAGAACAGAGACCCGAGCACGGCCTTCCTGGTCCTGACCGCTAGCTGTGACACCCCAGGCCCCTCTGGCCTCTGCTGGGTCTGCCTGTGAACCTGGGCTTTACCACCACGTGGGGGCTCCCCAGAACAGAACCACTGGGTCCCTGCGATCTGAGCCGACTGTGCCGGGTCCAGCCCAGAGTGTAAGCAGTGCACCGGTGCACCCAACCTGAACGGAACGTGGTGGTCCTCGACCCGCGTGCACGCTCTCCCATCAGTTCTCATTTCTCCTGCTGGGTCGGGCCAGCGGGTGTCACTGGCCTCATGGGACAGGTGAGGAACTGAAGCTGAAAGATTTGTCCAAGTCCCTGGCCTAGGCCAGCTCCCCAGTTTCTGCACACTCTTTGTGGAGCTCCCCAGCCCATATCCTACCTGCACTGCCCGGCATCAAGTTCATTGGCAACGTCAGCGTGAAGTGGCCTGGAGGGAAGGGGCAGGGGGCACGCTGGTCCCACAAAGACTGGGGGGCCCAGGCCTGCGGAGCAGCGTGGGGGTGGGGGTGGGGATGGGGGGCTACTCACATCTGGAACAAAGGGAGGGTCCAACATCCCGGCTTCTAAGCGCTTGAAGTTCATGTTCCTGAAGAAGGGGTGCTTCTTGACCTCGGCGGCACCCCCCTCCTGGCAGCCCAGCCTCTGCTTCGCATCTTTGGTCAGCAGCTGTGACAAGAGAGCCCCCAGAGGACAGGCAGGTGACAAGAGTGACAAGAGGACAGGCAGGTCGTCCCGTCCACGGCCAGGAGGGCAGAGCAGCCATTGTTCTTCCCACGGGTGTCCCGGCACCCTTCCCGGTGCCCCTCCAGCCTCCGCCACGTCTGTGCCCCCGTCAGTACCCGAAGACGCTGCCCCCCGAGCCACGCCAAGCACGTTCGCGGCCCCACGTCCATGGCACAGCTGGATGCTGTGATGGGAGGGCAGGGTCTTGTCTGCGTCTCCGCCCCACTGGATGCCCCCATGTGCTACAGTTCCTGGGCCTGCACTGTTAGTGACTCACGGGAGTGGCAGGGCCCCGGGACTGGCTCTGCAGGTCTCTGCCTCCCCCAGCAGACCTGTGTGCTGCAAGAAGATGCCGCAGCCAAGGGGGTGCCCAGGGGGGTCAGGGGGAGGCTTCGTGGGGAAGGGGCAGCTGGGCTGTGTGCGACTTGCCAAACAGGCCCTGGAGGCTGGGGAGGTGGAGCAGGGCAAGGTGGAAAGAATCTGGGCAGTGGGGTCCCGCAGGGCAGGTATGGGGAGCATGGTGGGGGTGGTCAGGGTCAAGGGAGCTGGTTTGGGAGAGATGATGCGGGGGTGGTCCTGAGGGCCAGGTCAGGAGGGAGGATTCTGATCGGGAGGCAGAGGAGGCTAGAGACAGTTGGGGGAGGCGTGATCTCGTCACAGCCAGGAAACAGGAAGGCTGGCAGGCAAGGCGAGGTGGGTGAAGGTGCAGCCCGATGGGCAGGGCCTTGGCTGGCTAGGGCTGGCCCGGGGAAAGCCAAGGCCATGAGTGTTCTGTGACTCTGCTCTCTGTATTCTCAGGGTCCACACCTTCCTCCAGTAGGCCTCTGTCCCTCCCCCGCACTCCGGGGCCCCCACCTCCCTTGTTCCATGGAGTGCAACACTTGTATCAGCTGGTGTCTACTAAGTGGACTAAAGTCAAGGTAAAGGGAGTCCAGCCCCGTCCGCCACCAGCACCCTGGAGTTGCCTGCACTCCTGGGATGCACCTTTCCTGCCGGCTGGCCCCCGTGCGGCAGGCACGGAGCTGGCCAGGACGCCGTGCAGAGGGTAGGCAGTGGCCTCCTGCAGCTCACAGCCTGTGGCAGGAGGAGCCTCCTTCCAAGCAAAGAAGTCAAAGCGGGACAGGCAGCAGGTCCCATCCCTGAGGGAACCGAGCCAGGTATCACCCTTCAGTCCACCAACCACTGCGCCGTGGCTGGGGTCTGGTGCCCACGCCTCAGCCGCTCTTCTCTCGGCTAACGAGTTGGGCCCTGTTGGGCCCAGGGTCCTCCCTGCTCCCAGAAATCCCAAAGAAGCAAGGCTCCAGCTGTGGCCCCCGAAGCCCGCAGCGACCAGCCCCAACAGGTGGTATGGATGAGGGCCACAAAGGTGAGGGGGGCTGGGGGCGGAGCCTGGCTGCTCATTAGCAGCTGCCAGGCTGAACGCCAGCCAGACCCTGGTTTGATGTGAAGTCTCCTCTCGTCGTAAACTCTTGGCAATCAGCCCACCAACCTCCCCTTTCTACGACGCAGCGCACAGAGTGAACAAAACACTCCTCTAAAGCTGCCTGTTTCCCAGCTCGGCTCAGGCCGGTGTTTGCAATTGTGTGCAGTGACACGGGGGGATGAGGGAGAGGAGGTGTGAGCTGGGGTCTAGGGCAGGCAGAGTGGGCTCCTTGGAGGAGGACTGCAGACGGGCTGGAAGCGCAGGTGCGACCAAGAAGGCCGAGGCCAGAGAGAGAGCAGTAGGAGGCTGAGGAAAGTCAAGGCAGGTGGACGCTGGGTCTGGGCTGAGGGATTGGACCCACGGACAGGGAGGGGCACGAGCTGCATGACTTCCCGACCCCAGGGCAGGGCTGCCAAGACGGAAGGGGGCTAGAACCAGGGCCCATGACCGGCCTCCTGGCTGTGTGTGGAGCTCCCTTCCCAGGCTGGCTGGCAGGGGACAGGATGAGGCCTGGCTGCTGTGGTTAAAGCCATAGAGGACATAAAGACCAACGTCTCAAAACCCAGGATCACGGGTAAAAGACAGAGCAGGGCCAGAGGCTCCAGGAGGAAGACAAGGGAAGGGGGGGGGGGTCTACACTTTGCACCCAGGGGCTGGGCCTGCCGTCGCTGCAGTTGGCCACCGCCTTTCTCCACGGTGGCCACCAGGGGGCAGCCGAGGGACAGCAGCTCCTGGTTCCCATCGCATCAGGAGAACCGGCCACAAAGATGATTGGGAGACTTGGGGGGAAAGAGGGGTTCTTCACCCTCACAGCCCATCCCACACCTCTGCTCAGGTCTCTCAAGGCTTGCTTCTCTGAACTCCTGAGCTTGACCTAGGACATTTGGTGGTGCTCTGTCCGTGGCTGTCAGCCCCCCACTCCCCACCCCGGTCCAGGTTGGTCACGCTGGATAGACACCCTGCCATGGCTTAACCACGCATGGTGGCACCCACATCTCCACTTCCTGCTGCTCCACAGCGCATCCTGCTCCCCTACCCCGCCTCTGCTGTGACTGCTGGACCTCCATGGGGCCCCAGCTGCACAGGGCCGCGGGCCATGCGGCTGGAGAGTCAGCTTGCAGGAGATACTCTGTCTCCCACTCCCTCAGCGACTCCTGCCAGACGCAGCCATGTGCAGATCCAGCCCCCAACACTTCTTCCCGGCGCGCTGTAACCAGAGAATAAAGCTGGCGTGGGGAAGCCGTCGAGAGGGCAGACGGCCGCGCTCAGCCACTCAGCTCCTGGGCCACCGGCGGTGCAGTCCCAGCGTGCTGGAAGCAGAAGCCACTGCTCCTCAGCGCCGGGGTCCGCTCTTCCCCAAGCTCAGGCCGGGGTTGTTCGTGCACAGGTGAACCTGCTGCAAGGCCCCTGTGGATTCAGGCAGGTGATCCGCCAGCCCGCCTGCTGCTCCAGGTGTGGTGGGGCTCTAGGGAGAGGACGCGGGGGGCTCCAGGCCCCTGCTGTCCCCCATGGCTGCAGTGAGGGTGTCGGCACGGCTGGGCCTGGCACGGAAGGTTGAGGGACCCGGGAGGGCATGGCTGGAACTCGGAACCTGAGCCAGGCAGGGGCAGGAAGTGCCCATCTGCCCACAGAGCCAAAAGGAGGGCCTGGGCCAGCCCCAGGGTGGGGAGGGCCTTGGCCCAGGGGTGGGTTCCCTTCCGCTCTAATGCTTGTGACAATTCCCGTCGCTCCTTCCTCCCTCTGGCCTCCCAGGCAGACTGTAAACATATCACACCCGCATGTGCAGCCCCTTATCTCAAGTCAGTGTGGGGGGGGTCCAGGGCTGTTGGGAGCAGGCAGCCGAGGTCAAGGGCAGGGGCTCGCCATGGTCCCTTTCCATCTTGGACACCAGCTCAGACCATCTCTTCCCTGTCCTGGGCTGGCTTCCCCCACAAAGCTGGGTGTGAGGGGCCTTACCCGGTTCACCTTAGCCCCTCCCCTGGCTCATGGGGTGCCCTGGCCCCCACCCAGGCTTTTCCTGAATCCCTTCTTGGCCACACGTGTCCACAGCGGGGGGCACCTGCCCCTCTGGCATGGGCTGTGCCACCCGCACCCTGGCTGCCCTGGCTCTGGTCCCGCTGGCGGGCAGCCGGGAGCCGCGCGGGGCCTCACCATCTTGCAGATGGACTTGGCTTCCTCGGAGAACTTGTGGGAGTAGGCCTCCTCGGTGTCCAGGACCCGGCGGTCCACTTCCTCCCGCTTCACCTTCTCCTTGCGGCCGCGGAACGGCGACTGGCCCTCGATCATCTCGTAGATGAGGCAGCCCAGGCCCCAGTAGTCAGGGCTCAGGCCGTACCTCTGGTTGTTCAGGACCTCTGGAGCTAGGGGTCGAGGAGAGGGGTGAGGAGGGTGAGACACAGCGGGGGGCAGGGCAGAGCCCAGGCACACGGGGCCAGCGCTGCTCCGTGCCCCAGCTGGGCCTCAGCCATCCTGCACCCAGGAGCGATGGCGTCGCTCACAGAAGGCCTGTGGTTTCACGCTGAAACACTCCTCCCTGCCAAGTCCTACCCAGCCATGTCTTAATACTGCTTCCTCCAGGAAGCCTGCCCTGATGGCTCCCTTCTGTGCTTCCTGAGGGACTCTGACTGTGGCTTCAGACTTTGGACCACAGCACGTGGAAATGTCACACTGACTCTTTGTTTCCCCTACTGCAACGTGAGCTGCTTACTCCCTGCTGTGTCCCCACTAACACACGTGACACCTGGCACACAGCAGGTGCTGCACACAATTGTTCCCGTGAATAAAAGTGGGTCCTCCCCAATTAAAGACTGTTTTGATGAACAATTACTTAAATTTACCACTCCCTCCCTAGGTCTTCCTTACCCTTTGATGGAATGAATTATAGAATCACCACAGAAGTGTAAAAAAAGACAGCTTTGTGTCATCGGGCAGGCCAGAGGCAAATGCATCCGTACACGCCCTGGCAGGCATACAACAGATTGTGCACGACCAATATGCAACACCGTGCACAGGCAGGAGCTCACTCAGGTATGCAGGGAGAGCCATCATTTGTCCACCTACCCATCCGCGCATTCATGTATGCATGTATGCATCCATCCCTCCGTCCATCCATCCATCCACCCACCCATCTATCCATCCATCCCTCCGTCCATCCATCCCTCTGTCCATCCATCCATCCATCCATCCATCCACCCACCCATCCATCCATCCACCTCTCCATCCATCCATCCATCCATCCACCCACCTCTCCATTCATCCACCCACCCATCCACCCATCCATCCACCTATCCATCCATCCACCCACCTCTCCATCTATCCATCCATCCCTCCACCCACCCACCCACCCACCTCTCCATCCATCCATCCACCCACCCATCCACCCATCCATCCACCTATCCATCCATCCACCCACCTCTCCATCTATCCATCCATCCCTCCACCCACCCACCCACCCACCTCTCCATCCATCCATCCACCCATCCATCCATCCACCCACCCATCCACCCATCCATCCACCCATCCACCCATCCACCCATCCATCCATCCATCCATCCACCCATCCATCCCTCCGTCCATCCATCCATCCATCCACCCACCCACCCACCTATCCATCCATCCCTCCATCCATCCATCCATCCACCCACCTCTCCATCTATCTATCCATCCCTCCGTCCATCCATCCATCCATCCATCCACCCACCCACCCATCCATCCATCCCTCCATCCATCCATCCATCCACCCACCTCTCCATCTATCTATCCATCCCTCCATCCATCCATCCATCCACCCACCTCTCCATCTATCTATCCATCCCTCCGTCCATCCATCCACCCACCTCTCCATCCATCCATCCATCCATCCACCCACCCACCCACCCACCCATCCACCCATCCATCCATCCATCCATCCACCCATCTATCCATCCACCCATCCATCCATCCATCCATCCATCCATCCACCCACCCACCCATCCATCCATCCATCCCTCCGTCCATCCATCCACCCACCCACCCATCTATCCATCCATCCCTCCGTCCATCCATCCACCCATCCATCCATCCATCCATCCATCCACCCATCCATCCACCCATCCACCCATCCACCCACCCACCCATCCACCCATCCATCCATCCACCCATCCACCCATCCATCCATTCATCCACCTATCCATCCATCCCTCCGTCCATCCATCCACCTATCCACCCACCCACCCATCCATCCACCTACCTATCCATCTATATATCCACCCAATCCACCCATCTATCATAATATTTACATGGGCGCTCTCTCTCTCTCCCTCTCTCTCTCCACCCCCCCCCAGGTTGCCCAATGCCATGGCAACTGAAAAGGGACCTTCAGCACCAGAGACAGTACAGAACTGATGCATCTGCTGCTGGCATGAACCTGGCCTGAGGGTAGCCACGTGCCTGGCTCCCTCGGCGGGCAGTGGGGATGTGTGTGAGGAAGCCCAGCCAACGTCCCTGGTTGGAAGGGGGATTCTAGGGGGCTGGCTTTAGCAGAGGCGAGGCAGGGCAGGGAGCCGGGGCTGGCCCCTAGCTGGAGTCCCACCGGGTGATGCAGCTGGCTCTGTGCCCCTCACACCCTGGGGCCCTTCCTGGGGTCTCCTTCCTCTGAGGGGTCTCCACAAGAGGGCTGTCGCCCCGCCCAGCACACTGAGCACCAGCCTCGGGTCACTGCCCCTCCTGCTCCCACCCAAGTGATTGACTGGGAGACACAGGTGGGCTTGGGGTCAGGGATTTTAGAGCTTCGTGGAGTCACATTGCTCCTGGGGCCCCCTCCACGCTCCACCCCACCACGCTAAGGCCACCCACCAAGCTCCCCGGGGGAGTCTCTGACTCTGCTTCTGACCAGTGATGCACAAAGCAGCAGAGGGCTCCGTGGGGCGGGCTCCGGAGGCTCAGCACGTGAGGAGCGTGGGCAGAGCCGCACTTACCCATGTAGCCGACGGTGCCCACTCGGCCGCGGATCAGGTCTCCCTCGGGGATCTTCACGGCCAGCCCCAGGTCTGAGATCCTGATGTGGCCTGAGGGGGAGGGCAGGGTCAGCGGGCCCTAGAGGCAGTGGTGCGGACACCGGACCACCCGGCCGGGCCACACACAGGAGACACACACGCTGTCCCGCTCATCTAGCCAGTGACGGCTGCGACCCCAGGCTGCCTTCTCAGGGCCACTGCGGGGCCCTGGGGAGCTCAGGAGTTAGGGGTGGGGGGGAGTTACTGCAGTTTCGGAGCAAAACAAAGACGCAAAGGTCACCTGGGTTTGGCTGGCTGCTGGCGGGCAGGCCCCATAAAGTGCCCTAATGGGCTTCTTGGAAGGCGCAGGTCACCAAGTTTAAGGCGCCCTGGCCCGACTCTGGGCTTGCTTCATGGGAAAAGCATGACATCCTCCTGACATTTTGCAACCATGTGCTTAAGGGGAAAGAATTATAAAGCAATTTAGGAAGCAACGCCCTGCGCTGCCTCGCCGGTCGGTGGAGGTTGTTTTCCCTTGCAGGAGCAAGCAGGGGAGGAAATGGCTGGGCTGGCCTGGCGGGGAGGCCCAGGCAGAGCTCAGGGGCAGGGCTGACCCCGAAGGCCCAGGCGACAGGCCCATGCTGAGAGCGCTGCCCCTGCCTGTCTTGCCACCCAGCAGGGTCACTGCCGCATCTTACCCTGCAGGAAGGGACACAACCCGCCCCCTTCCTTGTTTGTGGACACCACGGCCCCCCGCAGCCTGGGCCTCAGCAGGCCGGATTCCAGTGACACCTGCCAGGCCGGAGCTGCATCGATTCCTCCGGCTCAGTGGAGTTCGAGAGTTGGGAAAGGGGACCAGGGTGCGTCGGGCCAGCGGCCCGCCTCGGGGCACAGTGGTGCGGGTGGGGCTCACCCCCAGGTGGCAGCTCCCAGCTCCCACCTGCTCCTCCACCCAGCAGCAACTCACACACACCTCCCTCCAGGTCACTGTGGCCTCCCCCCAACCCTTCCTGCTTCTGGGGCTGTCTGGGTCTACAGCCTGCTGGCAGGAGACTTGGTTTCTGCTCTTGCCTCCCTATTGACATTATTGGTGACCTTGGCAAGTTGGTCCTTCTAAGCCTCAGTCTTGTCATCTGTAAAATGGGTATAGGAAGCCACCCTGCTCCCTCTGCAGAGATGGGAAGATCCAGGCAGACAGAAGAGGGTAAGACCATTCTCCAGGTTGAGAGGCTGAACAGCTGTGAGGGGTTCCTGGGCTGCTCTTGCCCACACACTCCCACCCAAGAGAAAACAGCACTGGGTGGCGTCAGTGATGCCAGCTTCCCCTGACATGGGCCTGGAGGAGCCTCAGTACTGGCTCCGCCCCTGGAAGCACGCGGGGCGGGGCGGGGCGGGCACACGGTCTCCACTTCACAAACGGGAGGAGGTGCACGGAAGGGGCTCAGGGCTGCTCCGGACAGAGCAGCCAGTCTCTGGGAATCTGATTCCTCCTTCAGTCTCCCGGCTCTGGCTCCAGTTCTCTGTCCAAGCCACACTGCCGTAGGACCTCTGGGCACGCCACCGCGTTCCCCAGGTCCCAGGATGGAGGAGAGGGCTGGGGTCTGCTCCCCTTGCCTGTCCCCTCCTAGCATCAGCCTCTCCTCCCTGAGCCCCTGGGAGGCCCATGCGCTGCACAGGGAGCCACGCTCACCTTGGCTCATGTCACCGGCAAAGGGCTTCCCACGCGGCCCCGACTTACCGTAATCGTCCAGCAGGATGTTTTCAGGCTTGAGATCTCTGCAAGGGGAAGAGAGCAAAGTGCTGAGCGCGGCGGCAAGGGCGCACGGCTGCTGCAGCCCCTGAGCCGCCGCTGCCTTCCCGCCTTTGAGCTCCGCTGTCTGGTGTCCTGCCGGGTCAGGCCATCTTGAGCTAAAGTCTCTCCCCCCAGACATCTTCCTGTCCCTGGAGAGTGACGGGGACGGTGAGGGAGAGGCGGTGCCGGCAGCTGCCCACACGTCGCCAGCTCCCAGGGCTGGGGTGGCGGCAGAGCCCCTCCAGCACCGGGAACGCGGGAGGTCTCGCCTTGCCCTGATGGCCGAGCAGGGTGATGGGGAGAAGTCATGGGAAGGAAGCAGCAGCCGCACACTTGGGCGGGGAGAGAATGGGGAAAGGACCCTAGGGCCCCCTTTGCTACAGCCTGGGAGGAAGCACAGGTGCGGCTGCCTCCTTCTGGCCTCGTCTCCAGGATCTTGGTCACAGGGTACCCAGGATTGGGGGGGGAGGCAGTCGGAGTCTGGTTTTACGAGCGACAGTCCTGTCTAGGATAAATGAGAAGAGCCAAGAGGAGCATTTGCGACTCGGCTGAGCCACGAGGACTCCAGCACAGGTGTCAGGATTGAGGGCTACTCCTCAACCAACCAGTTCTGCATACTTAACTGATGGCCGCTGTCCTCATGAGGCATGATAATGCACCCGATCCACCCTTGGGGTCTGTGCATGGTACTTTCCTTGTTATGCAACTCCAGGATGGCCAGAGCCACCACCAGGTTGGAGTGACAGCTCCCGAGTGGGCCCTGGCCAGAAGCCAAACCCATGGAGAGGCCAAGGCCAGAGGTCAGGGGTCAGCGCCGAGCTTCTCTGCCTCACTAAGAGAGGAACTCGGAGCCGTGTTTTTATTACGTGAAAGGCAATCAAGTGGAAGATTGTTTTTCTCAATCCTTTTAGGGAGAATTTTCTGACTTCTCTCACTTGAATGAAAACAAAACAGATGCATAAACGGGAGAGGCTGTGTGGGGGAAGGGCTCGCATCAGGACATCTCTTTCTTGGTTTTGAAACCTTCTTGGGCCACCACGAGCTCCATGGTGAAGGTCCTCAGCCGGGGTCCTGTCCAGGGCTCTGGCCCACGGGCTGCTTTAATGCTCGGAATTATTTTTTCTTTTAATTTAAAAGGCAGAGCAAAAGAGAGACATAGACAGAGCCCTGTTTACTGGTTCACTCCCCAAACGCCTGCAACAGCTGGGGCTGGGCCAGGCCAAGCCCAGAAGCTGGGGACTTCATCCAGGTGTGCCTGGTGGACAGCAGGGGACAAGCACTTGAGCCATCACCTGCTGCCTCCCAGGGTGCACACTAGCAGGAAGCTGGATCTGAGCCGAGGGCGCTCCAACCCCGGCCCTCCGATTCGGGATGTGGAAGTCCTAACTGCTGGGCCAGCCCACCCAACTCTGGGCCTGTTCTTCCCCCATGCCCTCTGGATCTCCTCCTGCCTGCCCTTTCTCGGCAGCTCTTTTCCCACTGCGTGGAAGAGACACCCCAGGCCCCCAGGGCCCATTAGACATGAGATCCACTCCTAGCAATTAGTGTGGCACCTCCACCCAAGAAACCGCTTGAACACTCTGGGCCTCACGAATTTTAAAAAATCTTATACTGGCCCATGCATTTGTCCCAGAGATGCACGCTGATCTATAAAGACTTTCAGGAAAAAATACATTACACTCTGTGGCGGGCAGGGGGTGGGCAAGGAAGGACAGCGGATTCCTGGCCATTCAAGAGCAATGTTTCTGTGCCCTTCTAGATGAGTGGTGGAGGAAAACAACTGGCTACACAATCGCATTCCACCGGATGCCTTGAGAAGTGCGAGGGAACTGTGCCACTTCAAAATATCAGCATCGCACTCACACTTCCAAATAAGTGTGACATTTCAAAATACCAGTGTTTGCCAGTGTATCGACATGGGGTGGAGTATTCTAGACATCTGCTGAAATTGTCGGGTGCAGGGATATTCACAATTCTTTGCAAAGGGCTAGGCAGACACCGCTCATGGTGAAGTTCAGTGGTCCAGCCAAGTCCCTGTGGGACTGAGGGCAGTGGGAGAGGTGCTGAAGGCGGGGCAGGCTGAGGATGGGTGGGACAAGGGCACAGGGTGGCGCCCCAGCTAAGCCACCAGACTCCAGGGAGCTCTCCTGGCGCTGCGTTGTCAGGGACCCGTGCGCCTCACCTCGGAGCAGCCACGGGTTTGGGGGGCGTCACTTCCCACATGTGGCCCCCTAAGCCTGGAGAACAGTGACCCGACAGCAGCTCACCCCACCCGCTGGGACTCCGGCACCTGCGCCCTGTGCCAGCCAGGCCTGGATCCTCGGGCCCCGCCCACTGGGGCTCAGCCGGGCGCCGCTCACCTGTACACGGTGTTCTCGCGGTGCAGGTCTTCCAGGCCGCAGAGGATCTCGGCTGCGTAGAACAAGGCCCGCCCCTCCTCGAAGCCGGGGTTCCCCATATTGTAGATGTGGAACTTGAGGTCCCCCCCGTTCATGATGGTCAGGACCAAGCAGAGTGCGTCCTTGGTCTCGTAGGCATAGGCCAGGTTGACCTGCGAGCGGCAAGAGCCGTGCCATGGAGAGGGTCCAGGGCCCACCGCCCACCCCTGGGGGTCCTGAGGCTGTGGGTGTGGGGGAGGGGCAGCCTGGCCGCGACCCTGCTCACAGCGCCTCGTGTCTGCGCGGTTCACGCTCAGCTCCTTCCTCTCCTCCCGATGGGTGGTGAGGAGGTGGGGGCGGGGCACCTCCGGCAATCCTTCTCACCACAAAGCTCCTGTGTCACTTGGTTAAGCTAGAGGCTGCCTCGTTGGCTGGTCAGAAAAGCAGGGCCTTGCAGGCAGGGGGCTTGATGTGGGGATGCTGGGACAGCACCTGCCCAGACCACACCTGGTCCACCTGCCACAGGACCACCAACCCAGGCAGGCCAGCCCCCTGCCGGTGGAGTCGGGACAGGGCCGAGGCCGTGGGGCAGTGGACGAAGCAGCGGTGCTGGGTGGCGGCAACAGCCCAGGACAGCTCCCTTCCCCACCTGGGGGTCTGCAGACACAACCTGGCCACTTTGGGCCCGACAGGGGACAACTCGGACACAAACATCAGGAACAAGGCTGTTTCCAAGCAAAGGAGGTTTGCGGGCTGCAAAGGCTGCAGAGGGGCCCCTGCGGATTGCGGCTCAGGGCTAACGGCCGCAGCTGCCTGCCTCCCCTACACCTGCCAGGAGGGGGCGGTGCTGAGGAAGGGCTCTGGGCCGTGCCGCTGTGGGGCACACTTCTGCCTGTGCGGTGGACAGGGCTCAGCCCAGGAAGGGCCAGACACCAACCCACGGCCCTAAACCACGTGCCTGGGACCCGCCAGCACCAATCCCAGCACTGCCTCTGAGACGAGGGCTCCATGGGCGGCACTGGGGCAGTGGTCAGTGGTCCCTGCAGACGGGGGCTGGCAGTGAGGAAGGTTCTGGACTCAAGGGGACCTAGAGCCACAACACACGCTGGTGTTAGCGTCGGGCTGCCTGCCCATCTCCTCCGGCTCGGTGCCTTTGCACCACCCACCCCTTTCCTGCTGGACGTGGCTGGCAGCTGAGGGGAGCCTGCAATGACACCCAGAGGCCCAGACCTCTGTGTCCTTTGGGTGTCGCTTTACAAAGCCACTCTGCTCCGGAGAATAACAAAGCGCTAGTCGGTGGGTGTTCCTTCCTCCACACTCAGCTGGAGGCAGTGTCACTGAGTGAGCTGGAAGGGGAGGGGCTCTCTGATCACACATCCTCCAGACACTCCTGGATATCCCCCAGGGTGTCCGGGGACAGAGGGTATGGCACTGTGTCGGGGGCTTGAGACCCCGGGGCAGGGCTATCCAGACTATACCTCTCCAGGAGGACACTGTGCACCTTACAAAAGGGGTGCAGATGCAGGTATGGACAGAGAAAACAGCTTATAATTTAAGGGAAAGAAACACAGGAAGACCCCATGGGCTGAAAGGGCACAGCCCGGTACGTGTCTAAGGATCACTCACAGAGGGGCTGCCGATGCTTACCGTGCACCTCGTGTACTGTCTGCCCATGTATCTTGTGCATGTGCTAGTTTTCATAATGGGACACCCCATAGCCATGTGCTGCGCCACACTTCCCAGCCTCCCTTGCAGCTAGCTTGTCCCTGGAGCCCACTGGAGGGGGCCTGCAGATGGTGGTGGAATTGAGGAGGCAGTGGGGAGTCCTGGTGGAGACCCCCAGCACTCACTTTCAACGCCAGCCATCTGTGGACAGGAGGGTGGCCCAGTCTGATTGGACTGTGTGTGCATGGGAGACAAACCTTCATTTCCCCAGCCACCCAGGGCCACTGAGGCCCCAGCACGAGGATCCGTGGAACCAAGAGCTCCTTGGCGGGGCCAAGGGTGGCCTTGTTTCGTCCACTGAGTTGTTGACAAGGCGGTCCCTGGGGGCAGAGCCTTGGCCTCACACACAGAGGGGTGCCGGGCACTGGCAGCTCTGGGGACAGGACACAGCTGTCCGCAGTTGACCAAGGGTGCTTGTGACAGAGGGAGGGTGTGTGGCTGGCTCTGCACAGCTTGCTCCTCACACTGTCTTTCCACTTCCGGCAGGACGGGAACCTGCCACCCTGGAGGAGGAGTGCCTGCACAGGGAGGGCATCCAGGGCTCCGGCAGCAGGGCCTGGCACGCCGGACACTCACCACGAATTGGCTGTTGACCTTCTCCAGGATCTGCTTCTCGTTGAGTGCCATGGACTCCCCTTTCCTCTTCTTGATCCTCTTCTTCTCCAAGCGCTTGCAGGCATACATTTTACCCGTGGCCCGGACCTGGCAGGCACAGACCTGAGGGCAGGGCAGACACCAGGGTCACAGGGCACCACAGTGGGCTGCCCCCGGCTCCTCTGAGACCAGGCATCAGGGCCTGCCTGTCGGTGCTCCAGGCCCATAGCACCCAGCTACACCTGACTTTGGCCCCAGCACTGCCCTGGGCCCCACCTCCCCCTCGCGTTAGGAGAGCCCTAGCCTGTGAAGGTGCAGGACCAGCCCTCCACCTCCATGCCTGGGAGACCAGCCAAGGCCTCAGAGCTGTCCCCACTCGGGGGAAAGAGTCCTCTCCTACGAGATGCTGACAGGAGAGGTTTGTTTGGGGGAGCAGTGGAGGGAGACCCTCAGGCTTGCTGACTTCCTAGTTCAGAGGAATGGGAACAGGGCATTTGGCCCAGGCTCCAGCCTCTGTTCTGCCCTTATGGGCTGTGTAACCTTGGCTGGGTACCTAACCATAGTGAACTTCAGCTTTTCCCATCTCTAAAATGGTGCTGGCGAGGCTTGCCTTGTGTCGGGGGAAGGCCAGACACCGCACAATGAAGTCTCTCATGCCACATAACTGCGCACAGGACTCGTGGCAGCACCATGCACACCACTAAGTGGCCAAGGCCGCTCTGCCCACACCCAGTGGCCCCGCTTCTCCCTCCCCAAACACAGCAGGAGAGCCCATTGTGCCTGCAGGCTGGAGCCCTCCCAGGCCTGGCTGTGATGCCACCTCCCCCTGCCACCTGCCCAGCAGTGAGCCTTGGGCCCTCCGACCCCCTCTTCCTTTGGTCTCCAGGGGCCCAGGGCTGAGCTGCTGGCAGGCTGGGGAAGACACTTTAGGGTGGTCCTGGAGAGATAGGAAAAACGTCCAGCACATGGGAGCTTTCCACCGCGAGTGTGGGTATTCACTCACCTCCCCGAAGCCCCCTTTTCCAAGTACTCGGTACTGCCTGAAAGTATTTTTGGTCACAGGTTGCCTGGAAAAAAAGCAAGAATCCAGCAGTGGTCTCCTGGTGTTAAGATTCAGAACCACAAGACATGGACAAGGGCCCCATTGACAACAGCCAGTGTGAAAGGCACCATTCTAGGACCCCCAGATCAGTCCCAGGGGATCCCCGGCCATCATGGCTACAGACTCTGGGGAGGGGCATCCATGTCCCAGGCCAGAGGGACCCTGTGGGCCGGAGGGAGCAGCCCCAGCTTGTGCAGAGGGCTTGAAAACGTGTGAGCCCAGCGCCGCGCGGCCACACTGTCTCCCCCCTCCCAAATGCAAATCTTGCGGCGGCCTCGGAAGGAAGCCGCGTCCTCTGTGCAGGGACAAGGGAGGGGCCAGCAGCCACAGCGCCACACCTGCAGGGCAGGATGCCACACTTCCTGTCCCGGGCGGTCCGTTCCTCTCTGCAGCCCTGCAGAAGCCCCGGCCTCCCTGGGGGTGAAGACCGCTGGCTTCAGGTCTAAACGGGGTGACCTTCAAGCATCGGTCCCAGCCTCTTCACCACCAAGGACCCCTTTGCTCTGCTCCCCTCGGATGCAGGGCACTGGAGGACCCCGTGTGCCTGCAGTGGTGTTGGTCAAGCCACCACGGCTGTGTGAGTCCTCACTGCTCTTTTCAATTCGCTAAAGCCGCTCATGATGTCACTGAGATGGGGCTTTGGTTACTTATTTTTAAAGATTTAATTATTTATTCGAAAGGCAGTTACAGGGAGAGGGAGAAAGAGAGAGCGAGAGATCTATCTACTGGTTTACTCCCTAAATGGCCGGGGCTGGGCCAGGCTGAAGTTAGGAGCCAGGAACTCCACCCAGGTCTCCCACGTGGGTGGCAGGGACCTAAGTACTTGGACCATCTTGTGTTGCTTTCCCTAGCACATTGGCAGGGTGCTGGCTTGGAAGTGGAGCAGCCAGGACTGGAACAGGACCCCATACAGGATGCCCACACTGCAGGTGGCGGCTTACCCTGCTGCACATCAACACTGGCCCTGAGACAGGGCTTCGATGGTCTCGGAGTGAGTGGACAGCTGTCCAGTTGCAGCAGAGGGCTGCATGGTACAGATTTCTGAGCCCACTTGCTGGGCTATGAACAGCCAGCCTCAAAAGTCAGGTGGGCTCCTGGCTCTCAGGGACTATTCCTGAAGGCATCATCTCAAGTGTTCCGCCCAGGGTAGAGATTGGGGCAAAACCGAATTGAGCCAAAGAATTGGATCATCTGGAGGACTGATGAGCCGCGGCAGCCCAGTGGAACGGGCCTGGGGAGGGTTGGGGTTTCCCTGCACATCACATCTCCAGCCCCAGGGCTGTCTCTGCGGCAGCCCCCAAACCCCAGCACTCTCGGGCACTCCCGTCTGGGAGTCTTTCCTCTCTTTCAGGGTGTCTACTTAGGAAGAGGGGTCCGGTGCCCACCGGAAGCACAGAGCAGGACTCCCCTCTGCCTGACGCACAGGAGCAGCCCGGTGGCCGTGGAGAAAACCTGCCATGTGCTTGCACCGTCATGCGGCCTGGGGCGGCCTTCCTCCCAGCCGCCCCGAGACCACATGAAGGCGCCCAGGGCCTGACAGTTTACGATACGTGGGGAACAGGCAGCCAGGCGAGCGACCGCAGGGCTGCTCTGCTGGGGCGAGGAGTGTCATACGAGTTCCCCGGAATTTCTTGGTTAACCGTGGGAGGGAAAAAAATCCCTTTAATATTTCAACAGGGCAGTACTGGTAGGCCACGACCTTGTTTGCAAAAGGAAAAACATGGGAGGAAGGCAGGGTGCTGCTAGTCGTCGGAGCACGCCTAGGCCTGGGTCCTGCCCTCCTGGCTCCCAAAACTTAACGCCGTTAGGAGGCAGAACTCCTAACTTCTTTACAGTTAGCACACAGATTTAAAAAAACAAATGTGTTTTTCCATTTCATGGGCTTGGGGCAGACGAGTACAATGAAAGCCTGTGGTCACAGCCTGAGGATTCCATGGGCATCAGCGCACCAGGGAGGGCCAAGGGCCACGGGCTTGAGAGGAGGGCCAGCCCTCTGGGGCCCTGGCTGTGTGGCCCGGGCCCAACTCACCACCCTCTCTGAGTCTCACACCTTCATCAAATGGTGATAATGAGAAGCCGCAGGCACCCAGCTGAGGGCTCTGGGAGCCGCCGCTGCTGTGATGTTGCATGTCCTTATTCCAACTCTGGAATAAAGCACGTGGCCCCTTCTGTGGTCTCCAGGAAAACGAGGTCCACTGCCCCAGCTGCCCTGCACGTGGCCGCCTCAGGAGGTGGGGCTGCCACGGTCCTCACTCTGCAGATGGCCATGCGTGGGCTTCAACAAGTGAAACGAGTTGTCCTGGTGGCTGGGAAGCGGTGGACTGGCCCTGGGGTCCTGGCGCACGTGGCTGCTCTGGGAAGCCGTGTGTCACACAGCTCAGCCTGACTCCATCCCCACCACTGTGCTGCCCGCAGGAAGGGCAACTGCTCCTTCCAGGAGAGAACAAGATGGGGTGCTGACGAGGGTGCCGAGGATGCGACACCTAGAGTCGGCTGTCTACCTCCTGGGGCTGAGTGGCCTGTCTCCTCCAGCTGTGATGCTCTTGTCTCCCCCTCACTGCAAGTCCACAGGGCAGGCACAACTGTCCCCAGCAGCACAACGGGGTGGAGAGGCGACAGGCCTGAGCCCCCTCCTTGGGAAGACTCAGACCCAGACTGGGGGTGGCGGGGCCCTCGGCAGGACATCTGGGTGGACGTTTCACTTCCTGCTTTGGCTCTATTATAGCCATGATGGGCAGGTACATGGGGGCCAGTGGTGGTCAGTAGCCCACCAAGCATGCCATCCACGGAGCAGTGCGTCGTCCCCACCTGTCAGCAGGCAGAGAAACGGCCCACCCAAAGGCTGCAGGGTGGGGCAAGATTGGGGCCCGAGGGGGCGCCTGTCCTATGGCTTCCTGAGTGTCTGCAGGAGACCTGATCCATAGTGGTGTGACGCACAGGTAGACAGCAGCTGGACAGCTCCGGGCTACGTGATCAGTGCTCCCAGACAGCCATGAGACCAGCACTCCTGGGCTTTGGAAGAGAAGCTTCCACCCGTCTACCAACTCACCAAGCACAGAGGTAGCCCAGGCATCGCCCTGCTTGGCACATCCTGGAATGTTCCAAGTATGCAGAGCACTACGTGGGGCCAGCCCAGGTCCCCCAAGGCCACACTCCGGCTTACCATTTAAGAATTCTCTCAGGCTATAGTCAGGTGCCATGGTGATGAGGCACCTGCATCCTGGATTATGTCTCTGCTTCCTTGTCAGTCACGGTGAGGCCACTAACGCTGGGCCAAGTCACAGCCATGCACGGGAGAACACTTTGAAGGGAATAAGGTGGCAGGGGTGGGTGTCTGGCGCAGTGGTTTAGGCACAGGCTGGGACGCCTGCAGCCCATATGTGAGCGCCTGGGTTGAGCCTTGGCTCTGCTCTTTCTTCCAGCTTCCTGCCCTCGCAGACCCTGGAAGGCAGCACCGCTGGCTCGGGATGTTGGATCCCTGCTACCCATGTGGAAGGTCCAGATTGAGTTCCCAGCTCCTGGGCTTGGCCTGGCCCAGTTTCAGACATGGTGGGTATCAGGGGAGTGAACTAGCAGATAGGAGATCTTTATCTGTCTACCTCTGTCTCTCAAATACATAATTTTTAACAGAGAGAACAAAGTAGCAAATAACACGGGAACAGACACCATCAGAGAGAGGAAGATGCAGATGAGGGGCCGTGGCTCGCTCATGGGGCAGGAAGCACAAGAACCAGGGTGCTGAAGCTGAGGGGAAGCAGCAGGGCCCCGGCAGGTGCAGGGTAGGGGTGCTGTTTCGCAGGGCAGAGTAAGAGTCCCTCAGCTTAACAGCCAGGAGCTTGTGGATGCCAAAATCCTGCTACGAGGAATCCCTGTGGATGTTCTTGCAAAGACGTGTAAGGAGTAAGGATTTATGAGCAAAGCTCTTCGTTATTTACGGTAAGGTTACATAAAAAAAAAACTGAGCACAAGGTCAGTGTCCATCCACAGGGCAGTGGGTGAACAAAGGGAGTGTGACTACATCAAAGAATACGGTAGTGCTCATCGGCCGGCAGAAAATCCCAGACGGGAGCCAGGTTGTAAAAGCGCATGCACCTGCTGAGCGCCAAGCTTGTGCACGGGCTCTTACAACCAGAGCTTGGAGGAGGACGGCTCAGCTTCTCCCGCCCCCGGTCCAGGGGTCTGAGAGGGTCTGAGGGTGAATTCTGGAACGAAGGGTCTCCCTCCGCCCTGCCCTGCCCCGCCTTCCCCCTTCGCCCGGGCTGCGGCACGCTCACCTTTCCAGCCACTTCCACTGCAGGAAGCGGTCGAAGTACATGCTGTCCAGGTACTCGTGGAACGGCTCTCCGCTCAGGTAGTCGTGAACAGACCTGGCTCGGAGGGAACAGAGGGACGAGTGCGTCACAGTCGCCCTTTGAAGCAGAAGGGCCCGGCTATAGGCAGCCGTCACTGCCCGGCCGGGTGCATTCCCGGCTTTCGGAAATGCAAACCATGGGGGCTCGGGACAGCTGCCAAGCCACGGCACCTGGCACCACGGCCCCTACCCACCGGGGTCTCAAACCGGTTGATCCTGCACATGTGTACTGAGCACCTGTCATGTGCTGGGCACTGTTCGAGGCCCTGGGATACAGCAGAGAGTGGGTGACACTGAGCTGGGAACACAAACAGGAAATCCCAAAGGTTTGGGAAGCCCTCCTGGAGATGCCGCATCGTGAACTGGGCTTCAGTGTGGTCTCTGTGAGGAAGGGGAGTCTGGGAAAGCTGAGAACAGATGCAGAGCTGGTGGGGGAGAGGGCGCAGAGTGGGCACCTGCCCCTCAGGGCCCGAGCTTTGGACCTGGTCCAGGCCAGTGAAGCTATTGGGCTGTTTCCCTGTGTGTAGCAGAGTTTGCTGGTCACTGTCTATGGGCCAGGTGCCAGGGTGGATTCCTGTGTCTCTTAGGCCACCAGGGCAGGGCCTGGCAAGGGTTGCACCTGGCTGGAGGCAGGGATGGGCACCTTCCCTTTAAAAAGTGGGGCTGGTGTTGCGGGGTTGATGGGTTAAGCTACCGCCTGAAATGCCGGCATCCCATAAAGGCACTGGTTCGAGTCCCGGCTGTTCCACTTCCAATCCAGCTCCCTGGTAACATCCCTGGAAAGCAGTGGAAGATGGCCCAGGTGCTTGAGTCCCTGCCATGCATGTAGGGGACCCAGATGGAGTTCCTGGCTCTTGGATTCAGCCTGGCCCAGCCCCAGCCATGGCAGTCATTTGGGGAGTGAACAGTGGATGAAAGATCTCTCTCTCTCTCTCTGTTTCTGTGATTCTGTCTTTCAAATAAATGAATGAATCTTTTTTTACAAAAAGGAAAAGTGCCCATGCTGACCAACCTGCCCAGGCATTGGGCCTTAGGGTGGGTAGGGGACCATGGCAGGGTAGGGGCACTGAGTTTGTGTCCTGCCAAACTTGAAAATGGGCCAGTGTGGGAGGCCAGGAAGGTCATTTCTTCAGGGTCAGGGTCGCCAGCTAGGACCCCACCCACCAGCAGACCTAACCCTGGCTAGCTCCAAGACACTAGCTCTGCCCGTGGCTCCCTGGCACCAACACAGGGCTGGGTGCAGGGTGGTCCTGGGGTGGGATGCTGACCCGGCCAGCGCTGGTGTGCTTGAGTGGGCTCCACGGGAGCCAGGTCTGGCTATCTGTTCACCCCAGGATTTCCAGCACCTGGTGCTGTGCTGGTATGTATAGCAGTACTCAGTGTCTGCGGTGCTAGGTAACAGTGCACAGGAAGCCTCCAGACTCCTCCAGCTGGGTGGAATGATCCGGTTCTGGATGGCCCTAGGAGAGTGTGTGTGTGTGTGTGTGTGTGTCTGTCAGCCAACAGCAGGGGTGTGCATTGGGGGGCAGTGTGTGTGCTCCTAGGTGTTCACATCTTTGGAGTGTGTGCAGATCCTGCTCTGGTTGGTGGCAGTGGTGAGGGCTGGAGTCTTGGGGAAGATTTCCCGACCACCCCAGCATGGTCAAAACTTCGCACAATCATCTGTCTCACGCCCGGAGAGCCACTTGCTTCCACCATCCCTAGGAGCAGGTGTTTCCTCTGGACTTGGAGCCCCAATAGCTTTTTCCCTTTGAGTAGTAATTCCCCTTATCCACAGGGGATACGTTTCAAGGTCACTCCAAACACTACCTACACTGTTCTTCCTGTGCAAACACACACACACCCATGATAGTGTAACTTAAGAATTAGAGAGAGTGGGGCCGGCATTGTGGCAAAATGGGTAAAGCCACCACCCGCGGCTTGGGATAGCAGTGGAGGATGGCTCAAGTGCTTGGGCCCCTGCACCCCCATGGGAGACCAGGAAGAAACTCCTGGCTCCTGGCTCTGAATTGATGCAGCTCTAGCCATTGCGGCCATTTGGAGAGTGAACCAACGGAAGGAAGACCTCTCTCTGTGTCTTTCTCTCACTGTCTGTAAACTCTACCTGTCAAAAAAAAAAAAAAAAAAAAAAGCCGCCACCTGCTACACCAGCATCTCATATGGGTGCCAGTTTGAGTCCCAGCTGCTATGCTTCCAATCCATCTCCCTGTTAACATGCCGGGGAGAGCGGCAGAAGATGGCCCGAGTGCTTGGGCCCCTGCCCCCATGTAGGAGCCCTGGAGGAAGCTCCTGGCTCCAGGCTTTGGCCTGGCCCAGCCCTGGTTGTTGCAGCCATTTGGGGAGTGAACCATCAGTCTCTCCCTCTCTCTCTGTAACTATGACTTTCAAATAAATAAATAAATCTAAAAAAAAAAAAAAAAGAATTAGACAAGGTAAGATATGGACAGCAACAACTAATAACAGAGTATAACAATTATAACGATGTACTTCCATATTGTTATTTATTTCTGGGATATTCCATGTTTTATTTTTGGGCGGAGGTTGAGTGTGGGAAAGCTGTGGATGGAGAGAGCTGAGTGGCCTGGCCGGGCCCTTGGCACGGAAGTCCTGTTCTGGCTGCCAGGTGCAGGGCCAGGGCCAGCCCCTCCCCTGGGGCCTGACACCCCCACCCAGGCACAGCGGTGGGGCTGGGCAGGAGCACTCACCGTGCACAGGCTGAGAAGAGCTCTTTGCAGGGCCTCTGCAGCAGCTGCTCTTCCGTCTGGGAGACCAGGTCTCGGCCAACTTGGGCGATGAAGACTGGGGACTGGAAGGAGGAAGGAAAGAGGGGCGGTCAGTGAAGGCGAGCAGCAGGGCGGCCTGGGCTGCCTGGACAGTGCCCCAGGGACCGGGGAGGTGGTTGGGCTGGGAGATGCAGAACAGGCCCAGACTGCAGGCTCTGCCACCCACAGGTTGTGTGAGCCCAGGGAGGCCCTGTGGCTGCACTGAGCCTCACACCGCATGCACCTGCGTAACGGCCATCCTGCGGCCTGGGCCTGTGGTCAGCAGCATGCGAGCTCAGCAGCGGGACCCCCTGCTTGGTGACGGCCTTGGCCTCTCTTGAGCCCGTGTCCTCTGAGGGTTATGCCCAGCCTTGAGGTTCAGGTGCAAACAGGTTTGGAGTGGGCAAAAAAGACAACAGCAAGTGCAGGGTGGCTCAGCTTGGAGGGAGCTGCACGGGCTGGCTCGCAGCGCTGGGGCCTGTGTCTCAGCCTCACTGTTAGCAGGAAGACCATCGGGAATCAAGTTTTTCCCAGAACGAATCCATGAAAACTTCCAGCGAAGCACTGGCCCACGTCCTGGCTTGCGGGACCAGGTGTGAAATCAACATTGCCACTGTCATTTCACTCTCCTCGGGCTGGCCTGAGTGGTCCATATTTCTGCCTCTTCCCCAGGAGCGGCGGCCCCTCCCACCCCGGGAAGGCGCCCAGCCCAGGGTCCTGTCCATCCCATTCCCACCCCCACCATTCCCAGGGGCTGAATCACCAACGGGGCTTCCAGGTGGATTCTTAATAAATGACAGGGATAATTGGGAAAATTGCTGGGAGTAGGCTCACACACGGGAGCATGGCGACATCTTTCTCTCCAGGGGACGCTGAAACCTGCAAGGCCTGCCTCCCTCCCAGCAGCTGAACTCTGACCCAGGGCCTGGCTGCTGGCTCTGCTCACTCCACTGGGTGGGGTCGCGGAGCTGGCGCACCCCTGCCGAGGGAAGTCAGTGGCTCCTTTCCGTGCCCAAATGCCTGCCTTCCTCCCAGGCCCCAGGCGATGCAGTTCACCCCTGCCCCGGGTGAACTCCTCCTTAGCAGGGCCTCAGAGGCTGCAGCCCCTTGCAGGGTGGCCTCAGGAGTGGACACAGCTGCTGCGAGGGCCACTGCTAGCTCCGCTCGCTTGCACCAGGGCAGAGGGGCACGCTGCCCCGGAACTGGCCACCCCCTCCCACCTTCTGTCCCCCTCCCCACCCCGAAGCCTCTGGCAGGAGATGCAGAAGAGCAGCGCCTGCAGTGCCGGCCTCTGCAGCAACGGCCGCGGCGCTGGCAGAAGAGATGCTCAGCACGGTGGGAGGAGCCAGGGCCGAGGGGCAGGAGCCGGAGCTGAGCCCCAAGCTCCGACGTGGGCTGTTTGTGCCCCCGTCTCCTCTGCTTGAATAACGGAGCTGCACCACACACAGAGGCCAAGGTCCCTGTGAGACTTGGGAACTGAGGGGCGGGTGTGCTTGAGGATTCAGGGGAAACTGGCGGAATTCTGGCTGCTGACACTCATGGGAACCACCGACTCTGAGCCCCCTCAATCCAAGCTCAGCACAAACCACCGGCCACGGCAGCTCTGCTCCGGCGAGGAGAGAGTGGAGGGCCCGGTGCAGGCCCGGAGCGGGTGCTTGCCCTCATGTATCAGTTTGAGAGAGGCTGGGATGGGCTGTGCCAGGATACGACCTTGAACCTGGTGTGGGTCGGTAAGGACCAAGCAGAGAGGTGGGGTGTTGCGGGAGGCAAATTCCCCACTTGCCTGCCCCCAGGCGCCCCCAGCGTTACCAGGGCTCTGCCTTCATTTCCACCCAGGGAGTCCCCACCCCCACCATAGGCCCAGCCTGGCATTGGCGTGGGGTAGGGGGTGGGGCTTAGAGGGTGAAGCCAGTGTAATTCTTGACCCCAGAGTGCTTCCTCTCCTAATAGGAGAGTTCTTGCACTTCTTACTACACACGGTCATGTGTAAAAGGGGCCAGGCAGAATTCAGGGGCTCTCACACCATTTTAGCAGCAAAGTTTTCTCCTTATCCAAATGAAATTTGTCTATAGACCCAATATTTAAAACCAATAAAATAATAGAATTGGCAACGAAGGTTTATATATTTACATATATTCATATATATATATGAATGCCGATGGCTAACTCTGGCCAGACACTGTGCTAAAAACACCTCCTGCAAGTTATTTCATTTATTCTTCATGATGGCTCTACGAGGCAGGTATTGTTAAGATGCCCATTTCGCAGATGAGGAAACTGAGGTTCAAAAGGGTTAAGCAACGTTTCCAAGGCCACCCAGCCAATACGTGGCAGAGGAGTTTGAGTCCAGGCTGGGGGACTCTCAAGTAAGATCTGGTTGGAGGCGGAGGGGCTGTCTGGCCCCCAGACACCCCCCTCACCTCACACCCCCCTTGCTGGAGATCCCCAAGGTGTGACCTTAGCCCCTGACGCAGCCCGGGACAGCGAGCTCCAGTGCTCAGTGAGTGCAGAGATCATTAGGGGCTGTCAGCAAAGCCCCTCACCCCCACCACCACCACCTGCAGGCAAGACGCCTCCCTTCTCAGCGGATGGCGGGGCTGGCTAGGGTCCAGAGGGGACTGCCGAGTTCTGCAGTCATAGCACGCTCATCCCAGGGAGCTGGCTGCTCCCAGCCAAGCCTAACAGAGGAGGTAATGAGTGGGTAATAATGCCTTTGCTTTAGCCACCATTGGTTTAAACTCAGTCTCTGGCTTGACATGAAGCGATTAAGTGATTCCAACCAAACCCCCTTTCATGTGGCTCCAGGGACTGGTGCCCTTGCCAAGAAGTAGGAATAAGAAGCTGTTGGCCAGGGTAAGTCTGGAACCAAAACCAAACCCGCCAGGAGGGTGAGGGGTGAGCAGCTGCTCTCTCTGCGTCTGTGGAACCGGAGGTGTCGGGCGCTTCCCCTCCAGCTCAGGGAGGGGGGCCGATGGCAAAGGCAGAGCCATACGGAGGCACTACACAGCCTGAAGTGCCATCTGAGCACCGTGCAAGGAAAAGGACTCCGGCGAGCTCGGGGGGCTCTGGAGTTCGGAGCGACCCTGGCTGGCACCTGTGGTCCATCGCCAGGTCTCTAAAGGCAACACGATTCCAGGCATGCCAGCTCCCTCCAGGATGCGAACCCCCCTGGTCTCGGGCCTAGAGGGAGTCAGGGGAAGGGAGCAGTGAGGGCTACAGGCCAGGGCGGGGAGGCAGCACAGGGGCCACGGCTCTCCATGCCTGTAGTGTGTAACCAGAAGGAGATCCCAGGGGGAGGGCCTCGAGGCACTGAGGCATCTGCAGGGGTGCGGAGGTCGGCAGGGAGGGGCAGGGGTGTCGTGGTAGAATCTGGTCTGGATCCCTGCTTTCTCTCTGCCACTGCCTCGTGGCCCAGACTCTTTCTCTGCCTTTCCTGATGCTGATGCCACAGGTTCTGGGGGACCAGCGGCTCCCAGAGTTGTGGACCAGATCAAAGCTTTTGAGGCAGGTTTTTCAGGCCCCACAGTGCACCAAGAGAAGTCCTTCAGGCCACTCCGAGGGTAAGCAGGGCAGGGCCCTGACCGTGCCCTCCCTCGCATCCTCATCTCCTGCATCCTCCTCTGCGCATGACCCCAGACCTCAGCAAGCCAGCCAGGCCAGGCCTTGCGTGTCCACTCCATTGCCTCTGTCCAGGCATGGTGTGGGAGCGGGGTACGGATCCAATGTGGGGAGCCGAGGGACCCCTGCACAGGACACGAGAGTGCTAGGGCCATGTTTGTACTGCAGAGGGTTTAGGGTGGATATGCGCTTAGTTTGGGGTGACTTGCTGGCTAAGGGAGATTGCCCACAGAAAGTGGTCCCCTCCCCAGCACCATGCCCCCAGGCACAGCCACTGCTCAGCACTTCACCACTCCCCATCACAACGGCGGCCTCACAAGAGCCTTTGTGCTCGATCCAAAGCTGGAACAACCAGTGTGTTCCAGGCATTGAGGTGGGCTGGGGTTGGGGGCGAGACAGGGGAGGGAGGCCTGGGCAGGTCGCCCCCCACACCTACAGCCTCTGTCCTCAGTGACCTCACAGAGAAGGGTACAAGCCCAAGGGCTGGTTGCACCCCCACCCCAGCTCTGCCTCCACCCATGCAACCAAGGTCAGTGAGGGGTCAGACCATGACATGGTGCTATGGAGTCCCTACACCACTGTCCGTCGAGCACAGCCCACACTGGAGATGCCCATGGGTGGATCAGCCTCCAGTCCTCAAAGAGTTAGGGAGGCCAGATGCGCACACCTGGAATGGTGATCAAGTGATCAGTCCCGGCCCTCGCACCAAGAGCCGAAGGGAAATCCGAGATGGGATGGAGCTCTGGAGAGAGGGGAGACACAGGCGGGGAGGGGCTGCATGGCAGAGGCGTGGGTGCGACCCAGAGTGAGCAGGACTCATCCAGACCATGGAAAACACGCAGGACCAGCTGGCAGCGTGGCTGCCATCTCAAGAGGCTGACCCCTCCGGGCAGCCACAGACTGCTGAGCCATCCGTCCCAAGGATGAACCTTGAAGGCTGCTTCCTGCCCTCGGCTGCCTTGGTAGCTGCACCTGCTCCCTCCGGGACCCTGCTGTCTCCCCCTGCTCCATGAATGACTGGCAGGAGGAAGGGTCGTCACCTCCTGCATCTGTGAGAAGCTCCAGATGTCCGAGGCCCTTAGTTCTGAAGCATCTCCTGGCATCAGCTCTCGTTTCGAAACGTCAGACGGGAAATGAGATCAGTGCTATGTGGCTGGCGTCCTTCGAGGCTCCCAGGGCTGGAGTGTGACTACAGGGCCATGAGAGACTCTGCAGGACCTCTGGGCCACCCATGGAGACTTCTGGAAACACATGCTCTACACTCGCACAGAGACTCAGGACCCAAGGTGGATAGGAGGAGCGAGAGATCAGAGGGGGCTCCCCATTTGGACCCTGTGGGGCTCAGTGCCTCCAACCTACTCACAGCACAGGTGGGGGCCTCACAAGCAGGGCCCCTCCAGGCCACACTGCAGGCACTGCAGACCGG